ACTTATCAATAATCATTAACTTAAATCACAAATGATAATTCTTTGGATTTCTATGGTGCTCAAAATGTTTCCATCTTTTACACTTTGCAAATGCACATAGTCTATAAACTACCATTCAGGTAGTGGAGATGGACTCTATCTTTGGGTCCATGAGATTACTGAAGAATTGAAAATAGGCTTAAATGCCTTCGTAACCATTTCAGTTTCCCCATGCCCTTGTTCAACCCTCACCTCCATTAGTTTCCTAGTTTGATAGAGAAGAGGCCTTACTTACGATAAACACTTTTCCCACTTCTTTTTCTTTTCACCAGAATATGCAATGGTAAATTAAACCTTTGTATAGAGTTCCTTATGGTTTTAAAAGCATGTTAATAGGCTCTCATTAAATTGTCACAACTCATAAGGTAAGCAGCGAAAGTGTCTTTCTTTTTTTTTCTTATGAAGAAAATGAGGCAGGAAGTTAAGGTTACTTGTCTGAGGTCATAGGCTGATGATTGTCAGAACTTGAGCCCAGGTCTTTACATTCTTTTCCCCAACTCTATTTTCAAGAGTACCACTGTATACATACTATTGCTGAGCTTTTATTAGAATCCAGGGTATAGATTCATAAAGTCATTTTCTCAGATGACTTACTGCTGCTGCTTTCAGCTTTCTAATCATTTTATGAAACAGAGAAGCCACAAAATAAGAGTGATAAATCTAATGACATAGAATTTAGAATGGACTCATGAGAAAATCGCCATAAGCAGATATAAACTAATAAACTGGATAGGGTGGAAAGAGAGTGGGATCATGAATCACTATACAACAAAGGATTAATTTTCATAACTACATGAAAAAGATTATCCTAATTGGCAAAGAAAACATAAAAAGGAAGCATAGCTTCTAAAACATTAAAATATGCTTAGCTTTATTCATAAGAGAAATGCAAATTCAAACAATGGTATGCCACGTTTTAACATCAGATTTCAAAGATCTGTAAGTTTTATTATACATTATTGGTTAGAGTAAGAGGAATGAAAGACATTTTCACACATGGTTGGTCAAAGTGTAAAATGGCACAGTCTCTGAAGGGCATTTTGATAATATCAAAATGTAAAAGCACCCTTTGGCCCAGCTGTTCTACTCCTAATCAACTCTATGGATATACCTGAACACATGTCAGAATATTCAATGCATCACTGCTATTTTATACAATAGATTAATACAGCCAAAATTCTGTCAATTGAGAACTGATAACATCAATTGTGATTTATCCACAAAGTGGAATTCTACGTAGCTGTTAATTGAGAATTCATTGTACAAATATGAAACAATATCCAAAATACATATTTTAAAGCAAGATACATAACAGTATATAGAATGGTAGAATTGTGTAAGGGGAGAGAATTGAAATACAGATGCCTACATATTTCAGTGTGAGGGGACTATCTGAAGAAAAGACAATAAAATGGTAATAGCTGCCCCAAAAGATGGGCTAGGAGCACTGACAGGCAGTTCTTTCCATTATATGACATTTTTCACTGATTGATTGACGTTTTTTCTTTTTCGAGATAAGGGTTGCCCAGACTGGAGTGCAATGGCACAATCTCAGCGCACTGCAGCCTCCAACAGGCTCAAGCAATCCTCCCACCTCAGCCTCCCAAGTAGCTGGCACTACAGGCACACATCACCACGCCTAGCTAATTTTGTATTATTTGTAGGGGTTTTGCCATGTTGCGCAGGCTGGTCTCAGACTCCTGGGCTCAACCAATCCATCTACCTCAGCCTCCTATAGTGCTGGGATTATGTACTGATTGATGTTTTTAATTTTGCAAATGTATTATCTATTTTAAAAATGCAAAAGACCAAAAACATTGTATAAAAATGGCATCAAAAGTTGAGAACGTTTATTTTTCCACTTTGTACAAATGTGTATGATTATACGGCAAATCCCTGAGATTAAACCTAACTAGTCAAAATTTTAATTTCCAAATGTATTTATTGAAAATCCTTTAGACTGCATACTCTCTGAAAGCAATGACTGTGTCTTCCTCATCTTTATATCACAAAAGCACTTTCTAATGGGTCCTCAATAAATGTTAAATAGTTTCATTGACTCTGGTGTTGAAAATGGAATTGAAATGAACATCAGTTAAGTACTAATCAGAGAGCCAGGTTCTTATGTTAGTCCACATACATCTGGTTTTAGAAGACTCAAAAAAGGGGCAGTTTATTTTCCTACCCCTTAGTTTCCCTATCTCTTAAAAAAATAAAATCTGGCCAAGTATGGTGGCTCACGCCTATAATCCCAGTGCTTTGGGAGGCTAGGGCAGGAGCGCTGCTTAAGGCCAAGAATTTGAGACTAGCCTGGGAAATACAGCAAGACCCTGTCTGTTCAAAATTTAAAAATTATGTGGGTGTGGTGGCACACACCTATATTCCCAGCTACTCGGGAAGCCAAGGCAGAGGGATTGTTTGAGCGCAGGAGTTGGAGGCTGCAGTGAGCCGTGATGGCGCCACCGCACTCCAACCTGGGCCACAGAGCAAGACCCTATCTCGAAAAACAAACATCAAGAAAGGTACTTTCTACGGTAATGGTCTAATGCCTCTGGTTCCAGCATGTCCTAAGATAGTTGCATTCTTCTAAGAATTCCATAGAGCAGTACTGCCCAAACTTTGCATATCCACTGTTTTTTAAGTATATATGAATTAAATGTCAAGCTGTAAATTAGTAAATATAGCCTTTTTTTCAAAACTGACATTTTCTTCCCATAGGTAAGTATAGTTTTGTGTACTTGTAGGATCTGTGTACCCAAATTTATAGTATACCATTCTAGAAGTTACTTAAGAAAACTGCCTTAAGTTTTTTGAAAAGGAAAATCATGTAGTTATTCTTCTCTGGAGAAAACATCTTAGTCAAACAAATAGCAAAAAAACCTACAAAATTTGTTTTTATTTATGACCATGATTATTTGTTCAATGCCTTCATTTTCTTTTTTGGAGTTTAATACTTGCTATGCTTGCCTACCAAACTATCTTGATTAATATAATTGTATTTTTATAGCTTGCCTGAGTTTCTCAAAAAGGTGTACATCAAACTTTTGCTTTGAAAATACAAGCAATAAAAATATGAAGACTAGCAGTCCTTGGAGGAAGGAAAAAATTACAGGTTTATCTGAGTTTTGCTAACATGAAAAACAAAACAAAAATGAGGTCTCTGAGGATCTCATTTTAATAACAGTAACTAATGTAATTTTTTAAAGTCAGTTATTTCTGATATGAAAATATTGTATTTTGGAGCTCTTTCATTTGTCACATCTACTTTAAATATATTATTTATTAATCACGTGCATTTTAACTTTTCAAAAAATGGTTTATGGTTTACTACTTTTGATGCATACTAAGCTACTTGATAGTTTGTCATTTTGTCTAGTATCAATTTATACAAATTGAAATTGTATTCTGTGGGACTGGGACTGTTTAGAGAGAATGCAGTGAGGTGTTAGTGGTGGTAAAACAGGATATAATGGATTTGGCTTATTGAATGGCATATGAGTCTGTTAGTTGAGGTTGCAAGGAGGGATCTACTGGAGTCTGGATGCTCCCATTTCCCAGCTCTAGCAAGTCACTTAAATATGAGACACTGAGCCTCATTGCTAATAGGAAAATTTGTAGAGTTACAGTTGGAGAAAGCTTAGGAATGATGTAGTCCAAGTGAACTAACCATAGTTAAATATCAAATGAACTAGAAACCTGTTGAATAGCTTATAAATGTTAAGGATTCACATCTGAAGATGTGCACTGACTAGAAGTAATATTTAAAACTAGGGATGGCATATGCATTACACAGAGTAGACTAGCTCCCCTTTTGACTGTCACGTTTCTGTGATTCTGAAGAGTAACACTCTGCTCCAGATGTTTCACAACAGGCTATTTATAAATGTTCATTGAATTTTTGAGTAGGTACTGTGTATTTAGCACTGTGCTTATCTTCACAAAGAAAAGAATGTTAGCATCCTTTCCTTCAGATCTAGAGGGGGGTTATCAGACTACTAGACATGAAACAGTAAATGAGAACCCCAAGTAGTTCACAACCCAATGCAATGTTTTACTAAGAGCAAATTGAGATGTGAGATTGGGTTACACATGGGTAAGGTTTGTTTAAGCAGAGTGGTGAGCAAGGTTCCCTAGGTGGGAACATTTAGGAACAGATGGGACTGTGCTTATAAACTTGTGGAACAAGACACCAGTCCAGAACAGTGTGTGTGTATTAAATAATGTTGAAGAGATCTGACCAACCTAATGTAAATCCAAATAAGCCAATTTTCCCAGCAATGTAAAAAAGTCTTTGAAATCGGCAACCAAGAATTAGTATCCTGTGGATGCCACATGCTTCTGATGAGCTGGCCATGAGTTTAATTCCTGAGGATTTTCCAGCCTCATCAGAAAGCTAGTAGACAAGCATAAGGAAAAGAGAAAGGGCTGTATTCCAGTTCCAGGCAGGTGACTGTATGACCTCAGGCATATTTGTACTTAACTCTCAGAGACTTGATTCTGTTGTTTACTATGAGGATAAGCAAACCAACCTTGGCTTTTATGAAATTCAAATGAGACAAAACATGTGAAAGTGGCTAAAACATAAGAGGCATTCAACAAATGTTGATCCCTTTTTTTCCTCAAAGTGGCTCTCATCCTGATCCACAAAAGGGCAGGTTAAGGGGTTGAATCCTTTAACAAGGTTAAATATCTTTTCTGATGTATATTGATGTAATCCATATATGCAGTGTTACTTTTCCGGTACTATGTGACCTCTCAAGTTACACAGTTTACGTGGCATTGTTCATTGTATTTAGTTCAATAAGGAGATAGGAGATAAAACTGTTGTATTTTAAGGATAAATACCTTATGTACACTAAAGTTTAGAGGTCCAAACACTACTACCACTAAATGTTTTTACAAGGTTGATAATTACTTTGAAACTAAAGTAAAACTAAAATGCCTTACACTTTTTCTTCCAGCATGCTACAAATGAAAACTGATGAGAAACTGAATGTGTCTGATGGGAATACAGCAAGTTGCCCTTTGGGCCCCATTAAGATGTGCCTTAATCGTCCCATTGAATGGAATCTGAATTTGACAACAGCATCTCTAGTGAGCTGCACAGTTCATAACCAAAATCTCAAAAGTGAAGAGAAATAGATTGCAGTTCTTGCACTATCTTTATTTTGTATGTCAAAATTCCTTCTGAACAATAAGCATTTATCAATTGATCTTGAAGTATTTCTAGTCCTGTGATTTGTCTTTATATTAAATCATTAGCATTAATCATTTTGATTATATTCTTTATATGTTTTTATATGTTTTACATCAGATCATTGTGGAATTTTGTAGTATAAACAGATTTTGATGTTTCTCTTTTTAATAGTATTATGTGAATTTTTAATGCCCTAAGTTTAAATACATAATTGTCCCCAGTTTTATTTCTGTGCACAAAGTTTTAATATATAATACATTGTGATTTAGAAAGCTAGTATTGTAAAGATTTGTGATGATGACCTGACCCATGAGCAATTGTAAAACAGTTGGATACCAACTACCTCGAAGCAAAATTGGTTAAAGAAAAGGCAAAGGTATCTCTTAGAAGTAAATCTCCTTCAAAGTTATATATGTACACAAGAAAAAAGTTGATCATAGCTTATCATTGAGTAGCATGTTTCCATTCACAGGTAAATTTGAGATGATCAGATCTTTCTCTGTATTTTAAACCTATGAGTCTGTGGGCTTTAAGAGCAATGGTACAATTGCATGTTTACTGTTCAGCAAATCTGTGCCTCTTGTTAGAGAAGAATACTATTTGGTTTCTGTAAGTTACCAGTTTTGAATGAAAAATGGTAAATGGATTTACATCTGTTTTATTGTACCTTAGCCTTTTATTTTAAAGTTTAAAGGGATGACTTTTAGAAGCAGGATATTCCCTTACCTTTAATAGTGCAAAGCACAGTTTCAGCAATGGCTACATGACTGTGTCTAAAAGCTGAATACTCAGAATACTAAAAAATTTGGTGCTTAAATTCAGTTTTCCCATGCCAGAGAAAGCACGCTTTGGTCAGGTGAACCATATGAGAACATGGCTCCTTTCTTTTTGGATGACCTAGCCATGTGTGAATGGGATTTTAGTTTGTTATATTTCTAAGATGTTTCCTTGTATCACATTTAATGTACCTTTTCAGTCCTTCTTCCAACCCCCTGCAAATTATCTTTAAAATGACAACACATAAGGAATTTAAAGCACAGGACACAGAGCCAACAAACAGAATGAAGAACAATCATCTATTTTTCATTGACTTTCTAGCATTACCAATTTTCCTGTTGCTTAATAAGTATTCTTGCTTTGTAACTTTGACTCCTTTTATAAGTTCTATGAAGCATATAAGTATAGCAATTTAGTTCTAAAAACCAGTGATTGATCTTTAGCTACATCTTAGAATTTCACCTTAAGTAAATGGCCTCTAGTAAATAAGCCTTTAAAAAGCACAATTATTAAAACAGATCCATGTTAGGACATTTCTGAATAATAAAGCGAAAAGGTGTTTTGTTGGGTACTGCAGAAAAAGGGGACCAATTTCATACAGTACAAGTTTCATAAGTCAGGCCAAGTGTCAATTTCAAAAGACAATAAATGAAATTGACAGTGAATAGTGCTCATAAATTTGTAGAGTATATACAAGAGAACTTCCTGTCACATTATTTTCCCACTAGAATTATCCACAGTAAATATTGTTATGCCAAAAATACAGAGAGCAGCTTCATGGTTAATATACATTTATGTGGACACCTCCCTAACCCAGGAAACACTCACAAACAAGGACTCCCATATGCAAATACTTTAGGAACAGGCTTCCCAGGCAGATAGCATCATCAAAACTGTTTTCACTGTAGGAATCACAAAATAAGATTGTCAAAATAACTGTTGAACGTTATACTGGTCTTCCTCACTGGTGACAAGCTCCTTTCTAGCCAGTTTGTGGTACTTCGTTTTCCCTTGAAATGTTACTTGTTAAATGTGTCCTGAGGCGGTTTCATCTTTGTTGGTTCTAAGTCATAAGCTTCTCAAATGCAAGATACTAGCTAGTGATACTTGAAAGTTTTCCATAATGCCATGATTTAAAACATAAAGAGTTCTTGAGAATCATTTGGAGAGCCTCTTTAAAAATGAGATTCCTAGGCCCACCTCAGATTGTGATAAATCTGTGTGACTAATGCAGATGGTCTCTGGACTATAATAACTGATGCTGTCCTAATGCTTTAATACAGGCCAAAGTAATGTGGAGGCACACAGCAGAAAATCTGAAAGTCATCACGTTTTTTCTAATTTTGACAAAGGTAACTTTATTAAAGCAAGTAACTGGACATAATTTTAAAGGATTCCACCTCCATCATCTTTCCTAACTCACATCTTCATTGAGAAATTGTGCAAGGTTAAGTTTACTTTTTTCTAACGCTGCTGTTTTGGCTCGTCTTGGTAGTCTCATCTTCATTTCTGATTCTGGTTCTGGAACTTCATGATCACTAGATGTTGAAAATACATGAATTTAGATATAAGTTTTAAAACCAGCTTATTTATAAATAAAACGTTTTTGTTTCTGACTCACATTCTATCAGTGTGTAATTGATAGCCTGATTCCATTGACTTAGCTGAAAACTAAATTCTCAAACAGTATCAAAAAACACTGACTTAGCTATTCAGCAAAGTAAATCATGGCAAAACTTAGGTAATGATTTAATATAGTATAAGGGAACCTGGTGTTATACAGGAAAAAAACCCACAAACTTGTAATGAAGCTTGTAATTAAACGAGGACCATAACTGTCCAAAAGAGATTTCTTTGAAACTCAAGAAGTGGAAAAAAAATTAAGTTCTCTTGATTTAAGCAATAAATTTTGAAAACACAGTAAAAAACAAGTTTCCCCTTAAATTACACTTGAATTTAATCAAGACAGTGTAAAGATACATACTGAAAATACAAATAATACAATTTTGCCAATGAATACAAGACAGCTACCAACTTTCAACTCCTAACAGTGGCTTGACAGAAGTCAAAAATAAACACTCTAACACACAATATATGCAAGTTATAGACAGAAGTATTCTATCATTGTAAGTATAGAGAACCCAATTATTATCAAAATCAAGAGTTTGTTAACTAAAGATCAAAGAGGAATCATATATAGTCATGTAATTAGAAACTGAAACAACATATTAAAGGCAGTACTAAAGACCATGCCAACTAATAGGCAAAAGCAAACAAGCCATAAGTCAAATGCTCTTGATAATGGAATTTTAGACTATATACCCAAAACAGCTACTTTTAGTTTTCACTATCTTGTTATATATTTTCTCTCAATCACAAGAAAATTAGTTTGTTTCTACTTCTAGACATAAAAAGTGAAGATAGGCCTTTATTAGTCTAGACATGCATGACATACCTTTCAGAATCAGCCTCAGCAGTCTGACGTCTCCTGTTTGTCCTAGCTGAAACTGTCACTTTTCTTTGTCCTTTAAGACAGTATAATTCATTATCAGAATTTATTATCAATTGCTTATTATTTTTAATCTGATTTCCAGACTAGCCAAATCCTTTGATTTCAACACAACAATCCTTTTCAACACATCTATCTGCTACTTGTTCTAGCCATCTTGGTACCAGTTATCACTACCACAGAAAAAGGAACCCAAGCAAGATTAAAACTTAATTTCTTATGTAAGCACTAATAATGAGTAAGGGAAAATGAGGACATTTCAAACAAGTTATAAGAAGGCAAATATTAGTTCTATGTATTTAAGGACAGTATATAAAAACTGTGTTACCATAAAGTGCTTCTATTATGCTACAGCACAAAGTCTATGGAAAGACTGTTGAAAATTAGGGGTTAGAAAGGTAGGTTAGGTGCAGAAACAGGTGCTAAAGAAATAAAACTTTTTTTTCTTGAAAGGTGATGAAAAACAAATAGAACAAACATTAATTAGTAAGGTAATAATGGCTTATTATAACATGTACATAACCAATTCAAGTATGTGTTCTAAAATATAATATTTCAATGTAAAAACAAGAACCTTTATATACTGGGGATTATAAAGATTCTACTTACTAGAATTTTACAAGGTTAAGGAGTAAGACAAAGTTTGGCTTGTGATGTTTCTCATTTATAAGAAATAAAACAGTATGAATACATGAAGTTTGGTCTATTAAAAAGGATGGAGTTCTCATTGTGTGATATACAACAAAAAATAATCTGATCAAAACCAAATTGTTCAATGTGACAGTCTGTTTGAAAATTATATACTCTACTTCATTCATGTTACACTTTTTTTTCCACTCCTTAGTTGTTTTCACTAATGCGTTTATCCCCAAGAAAACATCCAACAATATGGGACTAATTTGGAACAATATCCAGCGATTCGTATTTAAATAATTTATTGGTTACAAAACAATATTATGGCCAGACTCCATTTCAGACCAAATTAAATCTGCATCAGAAAGGGCCTTAAAAAATAGATTTCTAAAATTAAAATCATGGTTGGCTCATGGGTGGGATTATTAGTGTTCTTTATAATAGTTTGCCTGGATGTACTTTCTGATTCTTCTGTAATAAGCATGCACTGCTTTTGTAATAAGGAAATAATAAACCAATGAAAATATCTTGAATTTCAGATTTTTTTCCAAGTGATCCCCTAGTAGTAAGCATTTACTTTACCAACAAATCCCCTATTGTTGGATAGCCCTTGGGAAATAAGTTGGGAAAATATGAAATAAGATGGGAATAGAAGGAAAACAAAGCCCAGAAAAATACTACAGGGATTTTTTTTTTTAAATGTTTAGTTAAATGAAGGATACAACACAAATAACTAATAGAAAACCACCATTTAACCAAATCTTAATTCAACCCAAATTGTCCTTTGTAATATGATCTTTTGCAGCATAATTCTTTCAATCAAAAGCACCTAAAGCAACGCTGATTCTATAATCTTTAGACACAAGGCAAAAACTGACATCAACTGAAAGAATTAAGGATGCCGAAGACATTTTAAAATCTTTATTCCTAAGGAAACAAAGATAAGAAAACTTGCAAAACAAGTATTTTT